AACAAGTTAATTGCCATTTTAAGAGCAAATTTATCCCCATCGTTTTGACAAATGCCAAATATGGACTCCTTACAGCCTTTATATTGAATAGCCTTTCTCACGTCATAAGCTTCAGGTTCGGTACTCACCGTGAAGAGAATAACGACTCGCCGCCACCGCAGCAGCCGCAACTCTAAAACCAAAAAGCGCCACTTTCTCACAAGGGCTACAAAATGGCGCCAGAGTCGAGCTCGCTCTCTTCTACCCACAATTCTCAGCACCTGCTACCGCCTCCTTCGACTCCTAGAAGCTTCCAGCAAGCAGCGTGCGCAAGCGCCGGTCTTTCATTTCGCGAAGCATTCTGGGTGATGTAGTACTTTTGTTTTCCCAGCCCACCAACCGAGCGTTAAGGAGAAAGAAGACCCTCGAGAATAATCGCGATATTAGTCTTGCGTTTGCTTTTGTCCCATCGGCATAAATCCTAGCCTTTTCATTCTGTCTCAGTATCTCTGCGGTCCCTTGCTAGGGAGGCCGGGCGGACCACCATCTTGTGAGGCTGATCTTGCTGGCGATCTCGGCCATTTCATAAAGTTGGCGACGTAGTATCAGAGGCCCTTGTGGTAAAACAAAGGCGTACAGTGCTAGCATATGAGACAGGTTCTTGCTGAGTGGCTTGGGCTGTAAATTGATTTTATTATTATTATCATCATCCGACGCATTACTATTTGATGCCCGTTTCACCGATGTTGGAACCTCACTTTAGTGAAAATGTGGAGTGGCAACTTTTTGCATTATGGGCACAAGCTGTTTTTTTGTTACCCCACAGAAACTTTTAACTGAATTCAATGTGGCTGGTTTTTACTATTGGTAATTAGTAATTATAAGGAATAGAGCATGACTGGGGTTTTTAACATTTAAACCCAGATGCAGAAACGTTTTTTTAAAAAGTCTGAAAAACTGAGTTAACCCACTTCTATGCTTTTTAGAAATGGCACTACTGAAATGAATTGCAAAAATGAGTACTTTAAATAAAAACTATGAAACGGTAATCTGAACCAATAGTTAGTCTTCAATTTACGATCACAATTGAGCCCAAAATTTCTGTCATTTGAGACATTTAAGTTTTGCCCCATTTTACAACTTGTTGCCACAGTTGTTAAGTGAATCAATGCAGTTGATAAGTGAATCTGGCTTCCCCATTGATTTTGTCAAGCTTGCAAAAGGTGATCACATTATCTTGGGACACTACAACTGTCATAAATATGAATCAGTTGCCAAGCTTCTGAATTTTGATCACATGATCATGGGGTGCTACAAAGGTTGTAAATGTGAAAAATGGTCCTGTCACTTTTTTCAGTGCTGTTGTAACTTTAAACAGTCACTAAATGAACTATTGTAAGTTAAGGACTGTCTGTAGTGATTCATATAAGAAAAGAAACAATAGGACAGGGACGGTAGGCACGTTGGTGCGCTTATGCACGCCCCCTACAGACCTCTTAGGAAAGGGGTGAGGTCAATAGTAGACAGTCTAAGGTTAAAGTTTTTGGGGTTTGTACATAGCAGTTCAACTAATAAATATAACTGAGTAATAGAATATGAAGAACAAAAATAACATAGCAAAATAAAGCCAAAATAAGATCAAAGACAAACTACAATCATATTTACATTCTCAACCATTGTAAAATGAGCTAATTCAATGCCCTTGCCCAATGTCTGAGGGAAGGAGCCATATTTTCAATGGTGCACACGCCAACAGGATTGAGACCATCCAAATTTCAGATCTAGTAATCCATCATAATAGAAGACACATTTTCTGAGATTTAGAAAATGACATTGGATCTGGAGCATGCCAACCCTACTGAATTTTGTAGAATGGGCAGAAATAATTTTAGATATGGAATCTCCAAAATAATCTGGCCATGTTATAAAGAACTTTATAGGTTGTAGACAGCACCTTGAATTGTACCCAGAAGACAATAGGGAACCAGTTTACAAAATAGAGGTATTACATGAGTGTATTGTGATTCCTTATAACTCTTGTGGGAACCAATTGTTAACTACCAAATGTTTTCAAGGACAGCACATTATAAAAGTTCAAGAAGCTGACCAAGATTTGAATGACTGAATAAGGTTTGTAATCTAACAATAGCCACAATTAATGCACAAGTCTGATTTTTGCAAAGGCCCCTATTGGCCATAGCTTTTCCTTAAGGAGAGGCTGGGCACAACCCTTCCCCAAATCGCACAACAATTTTGTCTGGAGGAATATATCTAAAACTAATGATGGAAGATCTGGAGATCCAGAAGATCTAAAATTCATAGCTATTTAGTCTTGCTAGGTTTCAGCCTAAACTTGTTTTTCCATTTCCAGCTTCTAGAAAGTGGGAGAGTATCTTCACAGCTTTATTTGGTAGAGCAGGGGTAGTTTACCTGAGTATCATCAGTGCATAAACTCCATGCAGATGGAGAGCTTCATTTAAGTTAAATAGCAGAGAGAGCAGAGCCCTGACTGATCTAAAAAAGAAGAAATGTACTGCTGGACTTCCGTTTTGAGCTTCTTCAGCGACAGACCGAAACCTCATCTCTGCGAGGCTTTGATCCGTGCTCGCTGCTGGAGCTCCCCGAGCCGGCTGGTTTTGGGGCTAAGTCACCCCGTAGAGGTGGTGAAGAGGGGGGAGACTGCCAGCAGGGTTGAGGAGAGCCGCATCTCTCCTCCCCAGCTGGCCATTACTCCCTTTCCCGAAGGCGGTTGCAGCGGTGGTCAGAAATGGCCACCACAAAGAACTCGACCGGAAAAGAATGTGCAGGAGGAAGATAAGAGAAAGTTGTGGTTGACCGGGTCAAACAGCAAAAGCAACAAATAAGGTATCCTGGAATTGAAACTGTTAAAAAACAATAACATTGTTCCCTAAGAAGATTTTTAACCTGCGAAAGAGAGAGAAAAGGGAAAAGATTTGGTTTTCTCCTTTTCCTATACTGACAGCTAAGAGACTTAAGCAAGAAATTGGAAAAAAATCCACTTTGACATCAATAGGCATTTAATGCTGAAAATAAAAAGTCAAAGGGATAATAAAGATTTCTGGATAATTAAAAGCTTTTGAAAACAGGAAAGGAGAGAAAAAGAATAAAAGGGTAGGATCTGGAAGGGAGGAGACTGCCTGGAATTAAAAAAGAACTTACAGCAAAATCTCAACAAGACTTCCAAAAGATACATTCTAACTGAAATATCGCAACAAAAACCCCAGGAAGAGAAAGTCGAAAAAGAAATAAGAAGATATAACTCGGGACTATCTGGATTACTTGATGATTTCTGGATTCTTGGTTATTGTTTTGAATGACTAAAATCAATCGGGTGGTTGTTTAAAACTGTTTAAAATGGCTCCACTTTTAGAAGAACTGAAAATGGAACTTAAAAAGTACAAAGACGATGCACAAGAAGGGAGAGGTTCTTTTGGCTTTGTATTTCAGTTTTTAGAAATGGAGATTTGGAATTTTGAGAAACAACAAGAAATGCCTGCAGAACAAGAAGATTACGACAAAGAAGCCATCTTTAATGAACAAGTAATCTTAGATGGGGGGGGGGGAAGGAAAGTGGGGGAAAGAGAATGGAAAATTTAAGATTGGGAAAAACAACTCCAAAAAAAAATAGAGTGAAAAATAAGTATAAAATCAGAAAGCAACAGAAGAGGGAAATGCAGAAGAGAGAGTTAGAACTAGAGAGACAAGGGGCTAAAAAGGGGAGGGAGAAGATGAGAGGGAAGAAAGAAAGGAAAAGAAGTTATAAAGGACAGAAGCAAAATATAGAGAAACGGCCTATTTAGAGATAATGGGTGAAAACTTAATGGAAAAGGATTCTGCAAAGGTACATAAGATAGTATGGTTATATTAGAAGCAGAAATAATTTTAGAAAATATGAAACAATGTATGATTAAAATGTCTGATAAAATAGCTACCGTAATTCAGTGGAATGCTTGTCAATAAATGTAACAAAAGGTATATTTAATGATTTATAAAACGTGAAGAGAAATAAGGGAAAAATTAATTATGGAGATTATATGTATTTTTAAGGAAGTATATTTAATTGAAAAGAAGTGTTAAAGATGTTAAGATTTTAATGATAGAACTGGAATGGAATGAGGGTTTATAATTACATATATTTACAATCTTTCTTTTTTTTTTAAAAAAGAATATAGTGTGACAACAGACAAAAGTATAAATATAATGATTTGAATTGAGATGAGATAATCAAAATAAAAAATTGAGAAAATTAAAAGAGGGGAAAAACTATATAGAAAATGTAAAATAGTATAAGATATGGAAGAGCATGAAATTGAGTTTTGTGTCTGTATAAAGAAGTTCAACCCGGGACCATGCTATTTTCAAAAAATATGTTTTACTTGTATTTTGTATGTGTGAAAACCCAAATAAAACTTTATTATAAAAAAAAGAAGAAATGTACTGCTATAGCTTTCTCCTCTGACCCACAACAAACAAAGCCTACCCTGGAGGAAGAATAACCCCACAGCACTGTGTTCTCCCACCTCTGAAAGTCAATCCAGGATACATGAACAATAGTATCAAACATCACTGAGAGACTGGGGATGGACAGCAGGATGGATGTACCCCTTCAATCCCATAAGAGAATATTAAGCATTATCAATGGTATCTCAGTATTATATCCGTCATTCCAAGTGAAAAGCATTCAGATATTGTCCCTTTCTTTGCTATAGTATTTTTCCAACCAAATGTATGATACGTGGAGACTGCAGTTTTTTATATATATTTTGTGTGTGTGTGTGTGTGAGAGAGAGAGAGAGAGAGAGAGAGTATAAAATCCATAAGGCTATAATTTGATATATCTAGTAATTTTTCTCAAAAAATTGGATGGGGTGGGGAAAGAAGCCACAAAGGAATGTTTTTTTCTGTTTTATTTCAAAAACAAAAAACAAAACACACTTCAGCAGCAAAAAAGAAAAAAATTACAAAAAGAACACAAAGGACTGGAAGATATAAGATGTTTGGTGTGATTTCTTTCCACATTTATTCAAGTTCCTTGTAGCGGGCAAACATGACTCTCCGCACTGCATCTCGATACGTTTCATTAGATTGCCTTCTACTGGGCCTTCCTTGGGTTCCTAAGCCTGCTCCCTTCTTCCGATTTTCTGCCTGAAAAAAGATACATAAATCTCATTGAAACAAATATACTTTTATTGCCAGAGAAGAAACAGATTTTTAAATAATATTTCAATCTCTTTTAATTATCTATAATTATTAAGTACTAAAAAAATTCAGTATTACTTCCCTTGCTACTTATCTGCAAGAGAGGAGAAATTTAACTTATGATATGCTTATTTCATTCTAGAGTTTATTTCTGACATGCAAGATCAATTTAGTGCCTGTGCTTCACCCAGATTTCAACATATCTACTCTATCTCTTCAACTAAGTCCTCAAGGTAGCTATTCTTATTAAAGTAAACAGGCCAAAGACCACAGAGCCATGAATCCCATTTTTGGAGCACTTCCTGCTCTCTCGCTTGCTCTCTCTTTCGAGTAGTACTATTAAGCTATTCAGACTGATGTTATTCTGTATACTGTAGCTTTTCAGTGAAGACTCTCAAACATTGCAAATGAAGAGATCAAGTAATTTTTCAAGCCATTCTTGATTACTGGTGTCTACATGGATTTATCCATGCAATTCTTCTTGACGATAATACAGAAGCAGTTTGACTATTACTCCTATGATGTTTTTCCAACTTCTCAGCTTGGTTTCTCAACATGAAATTTTATAGTAATCTCCAGTTCAAATACTAGCTGGATATAACATTACTAAGTTCTTTAAGAAAAGCCAAGGTCATCTAGATCAGAGGTGTCAAACCCACGTCATCACGGTGGTGTCATGTGTCATATTGGGACTTTCACCCCTTTGCTAAACTGGCGTGGGCGTGGCCAGTGCATGATGCATCTGGGCCGCGGGCCACGAATTTGACAGCCTTGATCTAGATGCTGCCTGTTCAGTAAACATTCATTTGTAAAGATAGGAAATTTACCTCTAGTGGTGAGGTCATGCCTTGTTCATTGCGCCCTAGCCCCGAGCCTTCCTTCCAGCCCATAGCCTGCATCATTCGGCTTCCTTTGTTATTGCTCTCCATTCTTCCTTTATCTGTGGACTTACGCTCACTGCAAACAAATACATGTGGAGACATTTTAAGCAATGCACAGTACATTTTGTATACGTGCTTATAGTTAACTAGAATCTTAGGAGCCAGGCTGTCATTTTTCTTTAAGCATAGGCATTTGCCAAATTCAGTCTGGAAGACATGCATCTATACTCCAGTATATTTTAAATTTACATAACCGATATAAGAGAATCTTAATACTTAAGAAGTAATTCTCAAAGGTCCAAGGCCAGACCTGGAGACAGTAACATGTTAAATAGTTCTGTGTATGCACTTTCTTTCTTACAATACATGGGTTATATTGGGTCAAACTAATTTTTGCATCACTGCAAAAATCCCAGTAACTAAGAAGGCTAAGTAGTAAATACACAAATCAAGCCATTTTCTTTCAATATTATATTTTCATTTTTAAAGTAAAATAACACATTAAAAATAACATTGTTGTATACTTTTGAGCTTTAATTGTTTTTAAAACATATATCCTGTTTTAACATTAAATCTCAAAGCAGGGCTATCACAAAAACAATCCCAGTACTTAAATTATATAATTGTAAAATATATTAATTTCAAATACTGATTTTATCACAGTCTCATGCCATTTAAAAAGACATAGAAGCAGCTGCAAGGACTTATTTCATGAGGCTGTGTCAATACCTGTCAGAATTTCTGAAGTATTTTGGCCGTTTTCTCTCTGGAGATTCTCGTTCCTCAAATCTCTCTCTTCGGTCATTTCCCTTTTCTTTATATTTTCCCTTTTTATTAGAAAACAGAATTACTAAAAATGCTTTTACTGATGTTCCCTCCCTCCCTGGTAGGGAGCCTTAACTGAAAGCCCAGGCATGCCCAGCTAATCTAAACCAAGAAAGAAAATCTGCAGTCACAGAAACATAGGACTGGAAGGAAGCTTGGAGGTTTTCTAGTCTAATTCCCTGCCCTTGGCAGGAGATCTTATTCTATCCCAGACAAATGGTTGTCCAATCTTTTCTTAAAGACCCCCAGCAATAGTGCTACTACAACTCTGGGAAGTAAGCTGTTCCACTGATTAACTATTCTCATTGTCAGGAAATTTCTCCTTAGTTCCAGGTCAGATCACTCTTTAACAAGCTTCCATCCATTACTTCTTGTCTTGCCCTCCGAGTGCTTTGGAAAATAAGTTGACCCCACTCTTCTCTGTGACAGCCCCTAAAATACCGGAAGACATGATAGCATTGTTCTGATATCTCATGGGCTGCCACAAAGAACAGGGAGTCAAGCTATTCTCCACCTGAGGGCAGGACTAGAAGCAATGGGTGGAAACTAATTAAGGAGAGAAAGAAGCAACCCAGAACTAAGGAGAAATTTCCTGAAAGTTAGAACAATTAATCAGTGGAACAACTTGCCTCCAGAAGTTGTGAATGCTCCAACACTGGAAGTTTTTAAGAAGAGACTGGATAACCATTTGTCTGAAGTAGCGTAGTCCTGCCTGAGCAGGGGTCTGGACTAGAAGACCTCCAAGGTCCCTTCCAACTGTTATTCTATTCTATATCACCCCTAATCCTCCTCTTTGATAGACTAGACATGCCTAGTTCTCTTCTCATCATATGATTTAGCCCTTATCATCTTTGTTGCTCTACTCTGCACTCTCTAGGACAGGGGTGGGCAAACTACGGCCCGCGGGCCACATCCGGCCCGTTGGTCATTTTAATACGGCCCGCCTCTGGAAAAAAAAAAAATCTCCTCTGAAAAAAAAATTGGGGCCGGCCAAAAGAGACCCCGCACCGCGCACCAAAAAATCGCACACACAACACGGAGCTGGGCAGCTGCTTCCCTGGTAGCGGGGACAAGGCCGCCGCCCGGGGAACGCCCACTGCTTTCTCTCGCCAGGGCCGGGCGGTGGCGTGTTGCCCTGCGCCGCGTGGCCCCTGCCTGGCAGCGCGCTTCTCGGCTGGTCTCCTCCTCGGCCATACAGAACAAACAGGCAGAGAAGGAGGAGACCAGCCGGCTGGTTGGGGGAAGCTTTCTGCGCCGAAAGAGACAGCTACTAATCTCCGGCTTTGCTCCGCTTCTCCAATGGTCCGGCACCACCCTGTTCTATGCGCCGGCTGCTCGGACTTGCTGGGCCTGACACATAGAACAGGGCGGCGCCGGATGTTGGAGAAGCAGAGCGGAGCCGGAGATCATTAGCTGCCTCTTTCGCAGCACAAGAAGCCTCCCCCAACTGGCCAGGTGCTCTCCTCCTTCTCTGCCTCTCCCCTCTTGCTCCTCACAGTTGCCCTGAGCTGGTGCGGTTCTTTACTTGGGCAGCCAGATGCCTACAGCAGCACCCACAGCAGCAACAGGCAGTTCCGCCCGGGCTCCGCTCAGGTGTCCGGCTGGGGCTGTCAGGAGGTGCTACCGCCGGCGCAGCTCCGCGTGGCTCCAGTCCCGCGTTGCCTTGGGAAGGGAAAGGCAAAACCAGGAGCCGCTGAGCCTGAGCCTCCGGTGCCGCTGCTGCCGTTGCAAAGCACCGCCACAGCTCTTCCTTTTTGCCTTTCCCTTCCCGAGGCAACGCGGGACTGGAGCCGTGCGGAGCTGCGCCGGCGGTAGCAACTCCTGACTCAGGGGGCCTCCGAGGGGAGGGGAAGGAGGAGAAGAAGGGGGGGCGATTCACAAAAAATCTTGTGCTGACCCGGCCCGTCTGTCAAATTTTAAAAGTCAATGCGGCCCCCGAGCCAAAAAGTTTGCCCACCCCTGCTCTAGGATATCTCAGCATCATCTTTTTTGTATCATGGCGACCAGAACTGGAAGCAGTATTCCAAGTGTGGTCTCACTAGTGCAGTTTAGAGTAGTACTATCACTCCTCATGATCATGATGCTATCCCCTTGTTAATGCAGCCCCGGATTGAATTGACCTTTTTGGCAGCTGCATACAATTGGTTCATATTTAAGTGGTGGTCCACTAGGATACCAAGTTCTTTCTCACTACTGTTTGAGCCAGGTACCATGTATTCTGTACCTGTGCATTTGGTTTTTCCTGCCTAAGTGCAGCACTTTACTTTTCTCACCACTGAACTGTAAAAGTAAAAGCATTACTTTGGATTTACACAGTGGGTGTTTCTGCCTGCATCTAAGGACATGAATATATCCAACAGATGGGACACACATTGATTTACTGTTTATAAAAAGCCTGTTTCCTCAAGCCATATTGCAGCAGATATAAGAGGAAAAAAAAGTCTTCTAGTCACCTCTCGCTCTCGCTTCTCCAAATATGCCAGTTCTTGCTCCGATCGTTTTATTTTCCAGTGAATCTCTAAGTTTTGCTGTAAGAAAAAGCAAATCCTTAAAATGTCAGCATTAGAATTAGCAATAGATATTTGAGAATAATGGAAACCCCAGAGTAAATTTTAATACCAAAGGCTACCAAGTTCTACAGAATGCATAGCACAATAAGAGAAAATTTATATCAAGGTACTCATTAAAGCAGTCATATTTTTTCTTTCAAGAAGAGATCTTAGTATTTAACTATTAATTTTAATTAATTGAATTATATGGATATTCTGCTGGAAGAAGTCAAAATCAGCTCTTTGAGATTCTCTGGTAAAGAGCCCCACATATTTCCATCTAAACTACTCTGATCTTTCTTAAAACTTCACATGCCTCCTCTCCTTTCAATTGTCACCATAGATTTAATCAGGGGTGGGATTCTACAGGTTCGCACCTATTTGCTAGAACCAGTTAACATTCTAAGCAGTTTGGAGAACCGGTTGTTAGAAGAAATTACTGGCCTAATCCTGTAAGGAAGGCAGGAAGGAAACATTCTGGTGTTGCTTACAGAAACTGCCTCTCTGTTAACCCTTATTACATTCTTGGCAGGACTAGACTTCCTGTCTCTGGAACTTCTCTGGAGTTTTTCCCCCTTCCTTTGCTGGTACTTTACTTGAGTGGAGTGACCATTCAAAGTTATAATGGCACTGAAAAAAGTGACTTATGACCGTTTTTCACACTTATGACTATTGCAGCATCCCCAGAGTCACGAGAGGCCAGGTGAGGAGATGCATGCCTCGATTTGAGTGATGTTGAGTTGGCCACGCCCAGCCAGTCACATTACCACCAAGCCACACCCACAGAACCGGTTGTTTAAAAAATTGAATCCCACCCCTGGATTTAATACATCTGCATTGTGATCAGCAACAATCACAGTTTGCTTTAAATCAATGTTAAGATCAAGATTTAGAAAAATAGAGATCAAGATCGAGATTAAGATCAAGATTTAGAAAAAAGATTTAGAATTTTTTTTGTCATACTTTAATATTTTGTCACTTAATACTGAAAACAGTAAGAAGCAATTTGATTAGATTTAGCAAGTCAAGATGTACATACTACATCTAAAGGAAGCACTTGTGAAACACGAATCTTCATTTTTTTCCAGTTTCCAGTAATAATTTAATACTCCACTTTGAAGTATAGTAATATCTATTTCTACTACTAAGAAAACAATTCTTATGGCAAGTCCATTTTCCCAATCATTCTAAATCTTGTGTGCAGGAGACAGTTTACATTGCTTAATTTTTTTTAGTTGACATAATAAGAAATATCCTCAATTGTAAATAACACAGCTGTATTTTTAACTGAAGATTCTACATGTTCCTATGGCAACCCCATTTTTTGCTCAGTTATCAAAGCCACATCCTTAATGAATTAACTAGAACAGTCCAATCTATTTTCAACTGCAGGTGTTTGGTAAGTGACTTCACTATTCACAATGTTTGCATGGTAATATGGTTCAGAACTCAAAACTGATATACTTAATCTGAAAACCTGTTTAATTTCTGGTTGTATTTCTGTCTAAATTGCCAATTAAAACAAAATTACTAAATGTACAACAGAAGCTGTCAGAATATATTGCTTCCTTTCTTACTTTGTGAAGGTTGGATAGTTGTTGATGTTTAATTAGAACCTCTTTATTTGGAAACTGCCTCCGGCAAAGTAAACATGCTAACTTATTCCAGTCTGTCAGCTTATCTTCATCGCTTTCAACCTTTTGGGGCTGTTCCTCTTGCTGGACTACTGGCCGTGATGGCTGTGGCTGTGGCTCTTCTTCCTCTTCTTCCTCATTGTCACTATCTCCACCATATTCTCCCAAAAGCCCTATCAGAGGATTCACCACCTTTGGCTGTAGAAAAGGTATAAAAGAATGAGATCCACATGCAGAACTGAACAAATTCAGTCATTGTGTTGGATGCCTCAAATGACCAATAATGACATCAAGGATAATATGCTTCAGTCTGAGCATATAATCAATATATTATAGAGTAATAAATAAGTTATACATCAGAAAGCAGATCCAAATTCAAATTCTACTTTACCATGAACTAATCCAATGGCAATTCTCTACTGTCTGTAATAGAGGGGATGTAGTCATAATGTAATGACTTGAAATCTGAAGTGATTATGCAATTATGCAAAAACAAATGGAATTATTTTTAAAATATAAAGGTTAGATTTTAAATAAAGCAATGCAATTATAGAGTTACAAATAAACTTACAATATTACCATTATTTACCATTTACATCTTAGTATACTAGCTATGCAATTACCCAGTGGGAGCCATGTTAACATACTACTAAAATTTAAACCCAGATTCATCCTATTCATTAGTCTTCAGAATTTATCCCTTTACCTCTTTGTTCTCAAATTTACCCATTCTCTCAAAGCTGAACACCATTCAAGCTGAAATTTCATTGTGACTTGTGTGAAAATTATGCTAATATTTTCTCCCCTTATTTATGCGTTATTTAAAGCAGTGGTTGCCAACTGGTAGGCCGCAAGAAAATTTTGGTGGGCCACAGAGAAATATCCCCCCCCCAAAGCAATTAATCCAGGCTGTGCAGGAACACAAGGCTGAGCCACCCACATGGCCCACCCACTCGCTGGCCCCCACCCTTCGGCCGAGCGTAAACCTTACCTTGAGTACAGCCACGTGAGCTGGAACTGGAAGGTAAGACCAACGACGAGGGAGGGAAATCCACCCCGGGGTGGCTTGCTGACAGTCGGAAAGTTGGTCCCATATTCTAGAACTGCAGTAGTCACAGGACTGGCCCTTTGGTCATCCCGGAGCAGCTCCAGGATGACCAAAGGGCCAGTCTTGTGACTACTGCAGCTCTGGAATATGGGACCGGCCCATGGTGGAGTTGGAAATTTCCTCGCCGGCCAGGACGAGGTAATGGTGCTGTTGCAGCAAGAGAGGGGCATAGTTAAACTACCACATCTCTGTTCCAAGCTGATTGTTGCAGCCAAATTCTCTGCTCGGTCAGTATTCTGGGAAGACTGGCTCGGAGATAAAGGGGCTTCCCTTTGCATGAGCAGGCAAGTCGTTAGGGCACTACCCAAACTGGTGCCTGGGGCTCAAGGCCCTCTTCCTCCAGCCTTGGGAGGAGCACCGCTTCCTACCCTGCCCCCCTCTGGGTAAGCCCAAAGTATCCCTCTCATGCACCCACCACTGCAGTTGGGTGCATGAGGAAAACACACTCTGCATGGGGGAGACACGGTCAGTGCCCATTGTGCTGAGCCAAAGGGCACTGGTGGGCAGGGGAGCAGCTGCAGCCGGCTGGCAAAGTGGTAATGCCGGTTGGTGGACTGATGCGTGCAGGGAGGGGAGTGCGTGGGAGATGGCAGCGTCAGAACCCTCTCTGGCTCTTCCCCAAAGCGCCTTGTACCAGCCGAATCCCCTGCCCTGAATGCCGCCACCGCCGCTCCCCACCTTGCTCAGGACTGTCAGGATTCCGGCAGTTACTCTTATTAAATCATGAGCCTCTAGCCACACTCCCAAAACTAGAAAATATTTATTGGAAGTTACCATTCTACCTGGCTTATTTTTCTTAAATTCTACTAGAGGTCTGTCTGAGATGAGAGATGACCCATGCTTCACATTTAGTACCTCAGGAATGAACACTAAGTGAGTCCATCTACAGGAGACAATAACGCAAGGGTTCCCCATGTCACTACATAAAATAGATGGGTCTTTCACTGCATCTGTTCCTTCTGACCATTCTACTATTACAAGCAAAAAGATGGAAAATTCAGACAAAGTACAAAAAGCCTGCTTTCTAAAGGGCTTATAGCTTTAGAGAGAAACCTTTTGAAGAATTCAAAGATTTTTCTTGCTTTCTAAAAGATTTTGCTTCAGATGTGCTCTGCCATAAACCAGCCTGTAAAATAGCTATAATGTGTACAAATGTGTCACTTCACTACACCCAGAACATGCCAGCTCTCCTGAGACTCTTAGCTCTATCCAAAAGCATGATGGAATAAAGAACATATACTTAAAGAAATATGTGTAGAATATTGTCAGGAGCATACTTTTTAAAACTTAGATAAAATTAATTTTGAAGATAAATTATTGCAATAAAAGTAATAAATTCTTCTTACTGGAGGAGTACTTTCTTCTTTTTTCAATATTGGAGGTAGTGGCTTTTTAAAAACATCTTCTGCAGAAAATTTGTCCTCTTGATGCTCATTCTGAAACATTAAGTGACAATTAAAAACCTGTTTACAATTCCATCGCTTATATAAGAACAATATTTTTTTGTACTTGGCTATTTTATTTCTAAGAAAAAAGACAAGCTGGATAAGCCTGTTATTCATCCATATTGGTTGAATAGAATTCCAATCCTTTTTCACTTTCAGCATTTTATACTTTAAATATGTAGGTTACATAATTCATAACAATGTTCTCATGACCAATAACTACCTTGGCTGATTTATTTCTGTGTCTTTCTCTTCTCTCTCTATTATCTCTACTAGATGGCTCATCTCTTTCACTTGTCCTTTCTTGGCTTTTATAATGCCTCATACTAGATGGTGGTGGTGATGCTTCCCGACCCATTGGTATTTCTCTCTGCATAAGAAAAAAAGGGATTTTTTTTTAAAAAGGAACATTTTACAATAATGAAAAGAGAAAAGGAACTCATTTATGCATACAATCTCACCTGAGTATTGGAATCATAGTACACTCCACTTATGGGATCAAAATAATTTCCAGTATCTGGATCATAAATGAATGTAGACATATCAGAAGAAGCTGAAAGATGTAAAACATATCAGGACAATTGTTATAACTTATACCTGCTGATCTGGGGATTGTAGCAGTTTGTAACAGACAGGTAAATAGAACAGATATAAATAAATAAAAGATATAATCAAATATATTCTGGTTAATGAGATAGAAGGTCCCAGAGATATGTACGGTAATGAGATAGAAGGTCCCAAAGATACGTACAGTAATTAATATATTTTATACATTTTAAATTATTAAAATTATAATTTCTTGCCCTTTATCCCTAATACCTGCTACCTAAGATATATTGATCAACCTTAAAAGAAAAAGTTGTTATGATTTTAAGTGAGCTATCAAAAAATTCCAAAATATGAAAAGATACTATAAAGAAAAGATGATTCTTTCAAGAAAATTGAAGTCCATTTTCTATTCTATTCTCATTTATGGCTGCATTTTGGGTTTTTAGGATATTTATTACTACTGTATATTTTTTTATACTTGGATTTGCTATTTTTATACTTTATATTTTATTTATTGCTGTGTGCTGCCCGAAGTCACATTGGTGAGTTGGGTGGCTACATAAAATTGATTAAGAAATAAATAAGAAAAATATTTTATAGTACAATCAGATTCAGAGAAATGAGATGGCTGGATGGAGTCACTGAAGCAGTTGGTGTGAGCGTAAATGGACTCAAGGGGATGGTAGCGGATAGGAAGGCCTGGAGGAGTGTTGCCCCTGGGGTCGCGATGGGTGGGACACAACTTTGCAACTAACAACAACAATCAGATTAAAAGATAACCTACACTCTGATTTTCGTTTCTGTGTGTCAGTGCTCCTTCTGTCATTCATGCCTCGTTTGCCCTGAAATACAAATAGGATTTTAAAATAAGAATTATAAAACACAAATTTGAACATACCAAGTTATAAGATCTAATAAAATGTTATCTGACACAGAAAAATACATCTGTTGAAATCAATGTGCTCATTTACAGAATGCCTGATTGTCATTCCTAGAAAAGTCTAGTTTTCCCATATTTGCAAAAAGCAAGAAATTCCTGCTCCTTTATAAAGATAAGAAGAAGAATGGAAACTTGAAATCATAGCTCATAGTGTATTGTAATGGCATATCATGGTAATGGTACATCTATCCTAGATTTATCACTGTTAACCTCGGAATCTTATTAGGATTTAGGATATAGCCATTTTTCTTACCTTTTGGAAAATATTATTTCTACCTGTACACTTTTATTTTTATAATTTAAATGCATGCACGTGTTGGCCAGTTGAGTGTGTATATAACATTTTAATTGTTCTGAGTTTGAGGGGGATTGAACTGTGAAGTCAATAGATCTTGCACATTTTTTCTGGTTACACTCACTGTCATAAATTAAATATAAAAATATACTTAAGTTTAGGCAACTAAACATTTGAAATGCTGGATGGCAGCAACCAAGTTTCTTCAAGTGCTGTCATAGATTACAAGCATTACCTGGTTGAAGCGAGAAATATCACCTTGATCTCCATATTCATTTCTAGCAACAGAAACAAGACAATCATCAAATCAGATTAAGTGTTCCAAAAATACTACATGCAGTTAACTAAGTATTCTTCCCAAAAACTCTCGCAATTTCATTGGACCTGTTGAACTATTAATAAGTTGAGTGAAAATACTGTATAGTGAAGCATTGTTTTTCAATCAGAATTACAATTCAGTGCACAAAACTTAAAATCCTGACCTTACAAATCTTCCATATAGACATTAATTCAACAATTGATCTGATATGTCTTGATTTTACCATTTTAATTTAAATTAATGTTATTACATCATCCAAAGTCAGAAATCACTGTCAGCATTATAAATTACCCAGAAAGTTCAGATCAACTTTTTGACATTGCTACAGAGGATATTTTGACACGAAACATTATAACAAAATAATATTGCTACTAGAGTTATATCTAATTTTTCATTCAAGTTACTCTATTCTTGTTAAATTTACTCTCAGAATAGCTTAAATGTGATGTATGTTCATAACAATTAATTTATTAAGAAAGATATTATAGTTTAAACATAACACCACTTGATATGGACATTCAGTTGCAAGTATGCAAGTATGCTAATTTATGAAAACTTGATTGCCTAAGCTTTCTCTGTTTACATATTAAAATATCTATCAAAATAACAAAATTCACAAAATGAAATCATATCAATAAATATTTTAGTGACATCCCTATTACCTCCTCTTTCCTGTAGCTAGGTTTACATCCACGGCACGACCATCAATGCTGATTGGTGGATCTAGGTCTTGTAAAACTTTCACTAACCGGCGTGCCTCCTATAATGAAAAGAATTCAAGAATAAGCAAAAAGTAGAGATCAGGATAGGGACAATAGGTTTCAGCTGAACCCTGGCATGAGAGAGTGGCTGTGGGTGCATGGGACCTCAAAATCCAGTTATTTATCATCTTAATTCTGAATGGGGTTGCACTACCCCAGACAAACCTGGTGCACAACCTGGGGGTTCTCCTGAACTTGCAACTCATGCTCAAAGACCAAGTGGCAGTCATGGCTAGGAAGGCCTTTGCACAACTTTGTGTTGTGTACCAGTTGTGTCCTTAACTGGATCATGGGCCCTGCATACGTTCAATCATGTCCTAGTCATCTGTTGCTTAGCTTATTCTAATGCATTCTGCATGGGGCTACTCTTGAAGAGTATTCAGGAACTACAGCTAGTGCAGAATGCAGCAGCGCGCACAGTTCTGGAGGCTCCTAGGATGGCACATGTCATTGCTGTTACATGAGCTGCCAGTTTGCTTCTGGGTCCAATTCAAGGTGTTAGTTATTACCTTTAAAGCCTTATATGGTATGGGTCCAAATGAGCCGTCCCAGCCCAATGGGACTAGCCTGCCTCTCTCGCACCAGCTGAAGAGGTCTGCTATGGACCCTGTCTGCCAAAGAATTCCAGCAGGTGCAGTCAAGAACAGCCTTTTCTGCTGTGGGCTCAATCCTGTGGAACACTCTACCACTGGAAGTGAAAATTGCTCCTAGCCTTTTGACTTTGTGGAAGGGTATCTGCCGATTGGCTTGAGCCCACAAAGAGGGGGGGGCTGCTCAGAATCAAACAGGATTCTGAATCACTATAAAAGTCCAATTTAACTTCGTTTTCATAACATTAGTTATAGGGACACCAAAATAGCAGATCACGGTTTTCCCTCTAATTTTTCCATGCTTTCTCTAATCCCAAATGAGAGTAATACCAATAAAAAATAAACCTCTAATATTAAATTCCAATTATAAAATGCTATTCAATGAGAACCTGTCTGAATTAACATTCTGCAAAGCTGACTCTTTTGGGATTCTTACTGCAATGTTTGAAATCAGTTATAGCAGAACTAATATTGAAGATAAACCATTGTAAAGAATTCAAAAAACTAAGCTCCAATACAGCTGTACTGGATATACAAAGATTAGACTTCTCTTTCCCAAAATATGTGATAAGAAAAAGTCTCATAGTGCATCTTAAAACTTGTAATGTTGTAAACTGAATCAAACATAAATTATGTGTAGAGTATTCTACACTACCTGAGTTCATATGTTACAGTAAATCACAATGACATAAGTAGTGTATAAACAAAGCCATTTTCTTCTTTATTGATATTCAATCATATCTAAGCGTTAGCAATAGCACTAAGCCTACCCAATCAAGTTGAGTAAGCTATCCTACACAGAGGTTGCAGTTCACCTATAATTCTTTGTGCTTTTTTACTCCTTTCTCTCTAGTAGAGACACAAGAAGGAATTTGAATATTTTCTTTTCAGGAAATTACTATTACATCTAAGCAGGCTTATTTTAATAAACTACAATTAATAGTTTGAGTGTAATAATGTGATTCAGGAGAGGGAAAGAAGGAAGTACAAGCCTGAAGCTTGCACAGGCTTAATCTTACAATGCTAAACCATGGTTAATTGTTAGGTACAAATGTAGACACTGTTTGATAGCTTTGGATACAGAAGCGTGAAGAATAAAATTTAAAAATGTAAACTCATAATTACAAAGGACACTGTAATGAACAGACTCTCATAAGAAAATAACAACTTAATATTTCATTAATGTTGATGTTAATGAATGAAGCAGGGAAATGAAGCAAGGAGAATGCCAACATACAGCATGAGAGTCGAGTTCAATGAAACCATAGGTGTAGCCCATCCGACCAGCTTTGTTCTTCATTACCCGGACACTTGAAGTAGAGAGACGGACATATGGTGCTAAAAGTCCTACAATCACTTCCGGTGGAGTGAAGCGAGGAATGCGTTTTAACATAATTGCTGTAAAAAGTGTAGCAAAGACAGAAAATAATCATATATGTTCACTTTACACAAATTTAAATCATAATTATAGAAATAAATTAAGGCCATAAATACAATCAACTTACTTTTACTCTCATCCTCCTGACGCTTATTTTCCACACTTTCTCTCCTTGAACCACGGTCTTGGTTTTCTTTCCGGGGTGGGTACATTTCAAGGTCCCTCTTCTTTTCTTGTGGGAGCCACTCTTCTCTGTTTTTATCCTTCTTCTTGGGTTCAAATTCTTGAGGTGGGCATTGCAGCTCAGAATCTGGCTTCTGAGGCGGCAGCTCTTGGGATGGAGTAGGGTCTTCAACAGATTCCCCCTTTGGGCTCGGTTCCTCAGGTAACTCTTCCTCTTCCTTTTCAAGTTTTTCTTCTGTTACTAGGAAAACAAATTTAATGAAGTCATTTCAGCAAAAACTATGTTAACACTATTTTCCTTACTACATTATACAAGAATATTTAAATACCTTATTTGGATGGTTATGCATTATAAACGTTCCAGTTGAGAACACAAAAATTTTAGACTTACATTAATCCATGAAATATGGAAAAAATTGTCATTATCTCCCTGAGTCCCTACTTTTCTTTTTTCTTTTTTTTTCATGTGGCAGCACTCCCCTAATATTACAATATCACTGAAAAGTTTCTAGTGGTCACAATACTATTCACTTAAACCAATACACAAAGAAAAGCAACAAAAAGAGACATGCGGATTGAAGAGCTGTTACAAATCCAATCCAATAGACTTACTATAAAGGTCCATTTTCTTCCGCAAAATCAAGACACCTGAAAGTGAGTATTTTCACTAATTCTTCAGGCAGTGTTTAGAGCTCTTCTAGGAGGGGAAAACCCTTCTGGCAGGAGAATGCTACAGAAAAGAACTCCTATTTGGAATGATTTTAACAGTCTCCCGGGAGTGTCTTTGGGATGTGAAAGTGCCAAGATGGTTATGCATTGAGTGAAGGAGCTTCAATTCATGTGCCAACCTGTGTCCATGATTTTATATGTTAATGTTTTTTATCTGTTGTGTTTTTTATAATGGATAGTTTTAATGTTTTTCAATGTTTCTATGTTGTAAGCAGCCCAGAATCATTAGATACAAGATGAGCATTAAATACATTTTTTAAATAAATAAGAAAATAAGATAAATTCCCAATGGATGTTTATTCTGTATCTTGTAGCTAGTTTTTTAATGTATTTTTTAATTATTATTTAAAATACATTCAATTCATCTTCCATTAAACGGTGTGTCATCTGGGTACAAATATCTTGTGCAGTAACAATTAAAGTTTACATCCATGTTCATACTTCAGTATTCTGTATTCTTATCTTATTCTTATCTTGTTAATATACATATCTCTATTACTATAACACTCCTCTTCTTAACATGTTTAATTCTATTAACATATTTTTTATATTTCACTAATCTATTAGCTATTTCTAGTTTTCATATTTTTTTCTCTAACCATCGATAAAATAATTCCCATATCTTATAATAGTCACCTTAACCCTAATCCTTCATTCTAATATGCAAGTGTATTCATTTCTGCACATTCTAATATTTTTCTGATCACATTCTCTTCGCTTTTCCAATTTCGAGCAAATACAATTCTAGCTGCAGTTAATACATGAATAATCAAATATACATTCTTTACTACAAATTTCAAGTAAAATCCCCAACAGAAATATTTCAGGTTTTAAATCAATAAGCTGTTGTATCATCTTTTCCAACCACGTGTGTTTTGTCCAATATTTTTAGCTTCTACACATGTCCACCATATATGATAATATGACCCAGGTATTTGGTGGAATTTCCAACGTTTAGCTGGTTTATCTTTAAACATCCTTGCCAACCTCGCCGGGGCTAAATGCCATCTATAAAACATCTTATACAAGTTTTCTTTATATGCAGTTCACATTGTTAACTTATAATTTCTATCCCACAATTTCTACCATTTATCTAATTCTATTCTATAACCAAAAATTTTTGCCCATGCTATCATTGTCTCCTTCATTTGTTCCTCTTCTAATTTAATACCCAACAGATAACTATACAATTTTTTTATCAATCTTTCTTCTGTTCCTGTTAGTATTTTATCCAGTTCTGTCAATTCTCTATAGAAACCATATATTTTGCATCTTTTTCATATCTAGATTGTATTTGCATGTGTGAATACCAAACCATTTCAATTCCTTGCTCATCCAATTCTTGTTTAGTTTTGAGTTCACCCTTTCAATTCAAAATATCTTTATACCTAACAACATTTCTCATATTAAAAATGTTTGGGTGAATACGTTCTTCCATTGTTGAAAGCCAAACTGGTATTTTCAAGTAGTGCCATTCTCTGATTGTCTCCCATGCTAGCAATAAAGCATTTCTTATATAGTGTCTTTGAAAGTAACAATGTATCTTATTTTTCTCATACCATTGAAAGGCATGCCAACCCAATTGCAAATCATGTCCCTCCAGGGTCAATAACCTTGTATTCCTCAATACAATCCATTTTTTCATTCACGTTAACATCACAACCTGATAATATAATTCATAATTTGGCAGTCCAAAACCTCCACTCGTTCTTTTATCCTGTAGCATTTTTAAATTAATTCTTGCTTTTTTTCCTTGCTATATAAATTTTAATATTTTATTCAGATCCTCAAAATATTTTTTCCAGCTTTATGGGGACTGTTTGAAACAAATACAATAACCTCGGTAATATAATCATTTTAATTGTGGCTATCCCTCCTATTAATAATTGCAAACATTTCCATTGTTCTAAATCTTTATTAATTTATTGTAGCAATTTATAATAATTATCTTCTTTGTTACACATCTTGCTATTAATTGAATCCCTAAGTACTTTACCTTGAGACAATTGTCTTTGATTAAATCACTTTATTGCCTCTAGCGCTGCTGATCTGGAACCTTGCTCAAGGTACTGAGTTTGTACAAGTTATCATTTGTTTCTGAGGACTGTCAAGAGATATGGATGGTTGATTCAAAGAATAATATGCTAATTAGTTGTTAGATGGTCGCCTTTCTTTGTTTTGATGAGATTGGGACATTTTCTGTCTCCAGAATGGAATCCAAGTATTATAAGATGTGCACTAGCTAAAAACTGTTCTTCCCTTCATTAATCAGGAACCTAGATTCTTAAAAAATAATATCATCGCCAGACATCTTTCTTTCTTTCCCCTACTCAATTGAGGACATAAAATAGAGAACTATCCAAGAAAGTACATGCGTGTATTTCCCAGGAAATCAAGCGGTTGATTATGGTCACCAATTATCTTAATGAATACTCTGGGAGTCAATGGCAGAATTAATGAAAGGGCATGCAATGATAGAGGACATCCTACCAATTTGAATCTCAGGCACTTCCTCTGTGAGTAGTGATTAAGATGTGTTCCTTTGATAAGATAATTCATTGATAATTTTCAGAGTTTCAATATGACAGTTTCCCCACTAGAGTTTCAGAATAAATCTTTGTTCTTTTTAGAAACGGTGGAAAAGTAAACCTCTGGCATCACATCATGGGACCTATTTGATCACTGTATGCGCAAAAGGTAATTATTGGCCTTTGGTACTAGTCAATGTTCGAATGATTTGCATGACATATAATCCTGTCAGATAATGTCTTTAAAATGCATTACACATTCAGCTATGGGCTTTTTTGTTAGCCTTTTGCCAAACAATGATTGCCTGATTTTTATAGGAAAACATTCCCTTTTGGTTGGAATTGAGGATGGCATGGTTTGTTGAGATCTCTGCCACTCTTAAAGATGCTCTGGGTTACATACAGTCTCTATGATGCTGGCAAGCACAGTGGGGGGGCTAGAGAAATGGTGGTTCTGGTTCTTCAGGCCTAGAATCTTGCAGACTCTCTTGATATGCTTGGTGGATTCAGGACTGATAGTTATTTCTCTTCCTCATCTAGGGACATCTGTGCCATCTTTCTCATTTATTAGTCCTAAAGGGAAGTGTTGAGCTGTATGTCATAGAGAGGAAAAGAGCTGGATATTTCTCCCCTCATTTGGTGGCATGACACTGTCATCCTGTTCCTTATTTTCTATAGTGGTAGTCTAAATAGGAATTCTTTGGAGTAGAGGGACCTTGCAAGAATGGATGTCTTCTCAATTCTTCCTCCTCATTCTTCCAACATGGGCTGTCCAGCTGGAAAAGAGAGCCCATGTTTGTTGCATTCCCTGCTTTTTTTCTCTATGATAGGGTATGTAGCCAGTGTTATTAGGTTCAAAACCTAAAGGGCATGGCTTGACTGTTATCCTATAGTTATCATTGGAGGTCTCTCCTGGGATGTAAAAATGCATGAGATCCTCAAGGGAAGAGACATTACCCGGTACAGCCAGTAGAGTGATTCTTGTGCTCCTGGTTTCTAGTCTGATGTCTTAACCATTATACCAAGCTCTCTCTCAATGAATTCTCTAAATTCTACTAAGAAAAGTAAATAAGCTACTAAATAAATCAACAAAGTTCTGTTTAGACTATGATAATTCTGGCCACAAGACCAGCCGGTGGAGCTAGTGATTATTTGAAGTAAGACAGAACAGAGTTGGAGGAAAGAAGAAGCAGACTCAGATGAGCTCTAAGCCCAATCTCAAGAACTAGTGAGAGAGATACTCACTTTCAGATGCTATAGTTCTGCAGTAGGAAAAGATTCATTCTCTTGTTTATTTCTTGAATGTTTCATTAAATGTAATGCATCAAAAACAGAATTTGATCTAATACTAATATATTGGTGTAAACACCAAAGACTGCAAATTAACACATTTATTTTGGTACCAAACCAAAGTTAAGAAAGTAACAAAAGTAGGCTCACCATCTCTTGGGAGTTTACAGAAGTAACAAGATGAACGATACCCTTCTGAACGAAACCCTACTGTGCGTGCTTTACACTGCAAAGAAAGAAACATTATAAAACCTTTGTCTTTTGTCCCTATATGCACCTCAACTTATAAAAAACAGAAGCAGAAAGATAAGGAAGCTTAGTATTTTACCAAGACTCAAGCTACTTGTTATAACAATGCGTGTGAGTCACCCATCTACACCTGCAAGATAATAAACTAAAAGTAGCATGCTATGATTTCAAATCAATGTCCCTAAACAATGGAAAAGGACGATGACACAGACATAAATTTTCAGCTCATAGAAATACCTCTGAAATACAACCTGTGATTCAGAAGAATCTTCTATTCAGGTAGACTCTAGTTTTTGAACATACCTTTCTTCTACCAGTGGGACACAAGTAACTCCAATGTATTGGTTTGGGAAGAATCTACGTTCAAATCTTTTACAGAATAAAATTCAGTGAGCTGTATCTAATGTTAAATAGTCAAGACTCCCTCTGGATTGAGGTTGGGATAAATCTCATAAATAAAGCAAAACAAAATTGAGCTAATTAATATACAACAGACAAATATATAATGGACCTCCACATATGGAAATACAGAAGGCAAAATATAGCAGCCATTGCAAGGGACAAACAAATCCATGTCACCAATGGTTTCAGATAGAAAGACAGTTGACTCTGGCTCACTTTATCCACAAAGGCAACCTCTGTGTCCCCCTCAAGAAATCTTAGTGCTGTGAGATTGCACTTGAAGAATCAACCAGTCAGTTAAGGATATTTTTATCAAGCTATTTCATTTCTTTCAAACTCTCTATTAAATAACTTTCCATAAAGTTGTACTTCTACATACTTACACGCTTGCAATACCAAAATTCAGGGTATGGACTATATTCAAGTGTGACCTGTTTACCACCAATCATAAGATGTCCCTGTTGAAATGAGAGAGAGAAAATTATTAGTTTTTTTTTTTAAAGCAACACACAAGAAATAAAAGAGGAATTTACTAGGAAGTGTCATCTAGCTGACAAATATCTGAAATACCGGTAATCAATGAAAATACCAAAGAAAGGACTCTTGCATTCTAAGCACATATGCCTTGGATTGCTACAAAAAACTGTAGGTCAAAACATCAGGCCCTATCTCTGTAAAAAAAAAAAGGTCAAGCAACAAACTTACTTACTGAAAATTTACTAAGGTGTCAGACAGAAACTGCCAGGAATCAGGTTAAATTTTAGATGCATGCAGATTAAGCTAAAATTAATACCAAGGATTATTTCATATTCTCATCTTAAATCATTAATGTATATCAGACTAGATTTGATTTCATTGAAATAACATTGTAATATATGCTTGCATAGGAGGCAATGTGTTTTATGACATGGGGCTGCTGTATTATTATTCCTTATTTTAAATTCATTTGCTAATGTTGTAAGATATTAAGTTGTTTTGTGTAAGTATTTTCAAACAGATTTTGATGCAAGTTATGCCAGTATCTTTTGTTTGGCTTCCCTATTTAGTCTAAAATGTGCTCTTCATGATGATATCATTACGTTAACTCAAATCTGTAATAAAAGACTGTTATTCTGATAAGAGCAAAAATAAATTATTTATTTTCCAGTTTACAACTGTTTCACTTTTTTTTTAAGCTTACACAAAAGGGAAAAAAAATCAAGGTCAATAACTTACACGAGGTTTCCAAGGCTATATGAACTAGATTAACAAAATTAAAATTGACCAATATAATGTATAAAAGGAGACCAAGTAAAAGTACTGTAAGCAATTCATGATTTCTTGTGAAACAAAATTTCCTAGAACACTGGGCTATCATCAGTGAAAAATCAGACATAAAATATCTCAATGGAAATTTTGTCGAATATATTCATCCAGAAACAGATAGGCCTTTCATTATCTGGCAGAGATAGGAAACTTTGATTCTCTAGAAAGCTCATTTTAGATGAAATGGTAAGCAGTAGGATCTATCCAACCTTAGCTGATTTCAAAAAGCTAAGGAAATTTGAACTTGGTTAATACTCAATCAATGAAAAAAACAACCGGGAATAATATAACAAATAAGTTTTAGTCCAAAATTCCAAGAGTGAAATAGATGTGAAAATATCCATTGATCCTATAGAGAGAATATAGTGGCTACAAACAAGCAATATTAATTTTACTCACTTCAGATGTATAAAGAGATGCTAATAAACACATTTCAACTTGATGGCATAATTCTCCTTTTCCAGCACAAACCAAAGCAGGAGGAGTATTAAAGCAGGAACTTTGGCAGATACATAGGAAGCAAATATTAAGGGATGAAAATATTCAAGCTAGGGAAAAACTTGGCAATGACACTTTTTTTTTTTGAAAATGTGGGTATAGCTTTTTATCTCTAGTTATTTCTTAATATATAAAATGCCATTAAAAGATTTGAATATATTTCACCAATATTTCTATTCATTTAGGAAGTACTATGATCATGTCCCCTTATAATATTCCTTGCTAGACAGTGCCTGAAATGATAGCATTAAACATTATAAATAATTTATTCTGTAAAATAATGCATAGTATGTTTAAGGTAGGAACTCTTCTCCTTACAGGTCCAAATAAATATATTAAGCTTTCACTTTTCTAATTCCTGACTCTCTCCCCAAGACTAAGAAACCAGGCCAAAAACAACTTAGTAATATTATGTATCATCAATCCTGCTCCCATAGGCTCGTGCAGAGAAAAAAATACTGATTTTTAAATAGTGGTCCTTGGAAACTAAGAAGACTGTACTATATTAGTCATACAGATTTCAATAATTGTTCATTTGGGACAAAAAAAATCAATGGCTATTTCTGTTTACATTTTTTCCAACAAATGTCACTGGAGCAATGAGAATTTAGGCATCAACCAAAGCTAATTTCCCAATTAGGGCTCTGCTTCCAGTCATCTGGCATTTGTGCGCATAGACATATATAGATAGAGATCAAGCATAGGCATTTCTAAGAAGAAATTAATGAATAAAAATGAAATGGGAATGCCATATCAAATACTGTACTCACAGCTCCTGAAAAAAATCAGTGCAAAATTAAATATATTTGAGAAGCAAGTTTTTATCAACTGTCAAATTAACTTACTAGCAAGTATGCATAAAATTAACAAAGGATTGGAGGGAGGTGTGTGTGTGTGTATGTGTGCGTGTGTGTGTAAAAAAAACTGTCAAGAAACTAAAACTGAGCCTATCAGAAATGTTATTTTGGATAGTTTTTAAGTTCAAATTTTGTATGAAGTACTTAATGTTCAAACTTGCAAGATATTTTAAACTCTACCTTATTATTCCACAAGAACTACTAAGAAATTATTCTAAGGCTTAAATGCATTAATTTATTGATGATCATTTTATTAAATCAGAGTACAGGAATAGTCATTCATATACTGTTAAACTCTAACGTCTGCTTCAGCCACTGTGGCCAATATAAAAAATGAAGTTGTAATCCAACATCTTGACAGCTACCAGTAAGCCATCCTTGCCAATTTTATTAATTTTTCATAATTTGTAAGTAGTCTGTTGTAACTTTCTTCCACCCAAATAGATTTAAAAAAATACATAGAGCCAAATTCAAACCTATCTTCATATATCAACCAAAGGGATTAAATACATTGCCCATTTCAACTTGTACAGTCATTTCCCCCAGTATATCTGAAAGTAACTGTTTGCTGTCAAGTCTTTGGGCACTGCTTAATTGGCTGTTTCGATCTTAGTCCCAGACTCATGTGACTAAGTAATTAAGATTTTTATATGCCCACTAAGGTCATTGAATGAATCCTTCTTCTGTATGGAGTCTTTTATTCAAATTCAGTAAACTTTTCAGATTTCTTCATTAATTTAGAAATGTTTTATGGCTGGCATTTTTTTTTTGTCTCATTGGCACCATTTTAGAATGATTATAAACTTTCTTTCACAGAAAACATTTACTGGATATCCACAGTAATTTAGTCTAGTGTGCTTGTTGAAAGCTAATGTTGCGTATAACAGAAAGAAAGAAACAGGAAACTCTCCTGGAACAAGAGTTCATATCTTGAGGCTAACAAGGAAGCATGTATCTCCCCAAAGTAGTAAGTGTGACCCCCAGTCACTCCAAGTTGATCAACTTTTAATTTCAAATGCAATAAAAGGGATTGTTAAATACATAATTACCTAAATATAATTAATTTTAATTTCCATGTTTTTATTGTTTGAATGTGGGCTAGGCACACCACTCTCATTGTGGTTCTCAGCCTTAAAATATTTCTGTATTTCTTACCCAGAGCATAAACCACCACAAATCAAATCAGATATGCTAATACAGCCTCAATAAAGTAACTAGTAACTAGAGATTTTTTTTTCTTTTCACAAAATAGAGTAAATTGAGTCTTTTAAGAAATAAACTTCCACAATTGGTATCTTAACACACTTTCTGCTATATACCGTAATAGCAATTAGCAATAGCATTAGATTTATATACCGCTTCATAGCGCTCTATACCCCTTTAAGCAGTTTCCAGAGTCAGTATATTGCCCCCACAATCTGGGACTTCATTTTACTGACCTCGGAAGGATGGAAAGCTGAGTCAACCTTGAGCTGATCAGAATCGAACTCCTGGCAGTGGAATGCAGAGTTAGCCTGCAATACTGCATTCTAACCACTGCAACACCACAGTTCTTAATAAGAGCTATAATGAAGCCTAACAGAAGCAATTTCTTTCTGATCAACATTTCTCATTTCCATCTTCATGATGTGTGAATAAGAATACTGCTTTTAAAAAATAATGTAAATTTGAAAAATAAGTCAAATATACCTTTGTAATATAACCTATATGATACATCCCTTTAACCACTACCAGCCAATTTTATTATCCAGCTATTCTAACTCAATAAAAAAGTAGGAGCACTTGTTTGTAAATAGATTTTATTGAAATAAGGTCAAAGCATATAATACATCGTTAATCTACCAAGATTAATTTTGCTGTTTATCATATTATCTTCATGTAATCTGTTTCCATGTTCTTTTTATACATATTTCAACTGTGGTGTGCCAATTAAGTTTCTCGGCTTTTTGACCCTCCTGTTTTCTTATATGGGAGGTGGTTTCCAACCTTGAAACAGCCGATCACCTGAAACACAAAAAATATTAGGAATAATGTAGCCATTTGGTATATTAGCTTATTTTAAGTTAGTTTGTATTAACAATCATAGTTACTACTTACCAGGTGGCAGTCACCAGCACCAAGTTTTTCTTTGTTTAAAAGAACTAGCTGTGTAATCAATGCTGCATTGCTCATGGATCCCATTTTAAGAAGCCAGAAATTCCATTAATCATTCATCAATTTCTCACCATAGTGAGAAATCCCAAAGTAAAATACATCTTTTATATTTTGAAAATCATTTACTAGTTTTAGATAGGAAACATTTAAATATTCATTTCAATAGTTTAATAGCTTTAGAAAAGAACAATTGAGCATGCTAGTTAAAGTTAACATCTTTTTTATTTTAATATAGTAGCTTTCTGCTTCTATCACTAACCTAAGCAAACAGACTTTTTCTTGATTTTTCTTGGTTCTCTTTCCTCATTTCCAAAATTGTCTCCAGAGATTTTTGAAACAGATTTCAGAACTGATGCTTTGTTTTTTTTATTTTCAAGTAAACGTTTTGATAATAATCACATTCACATGTTTCATCAAATGGCTAATCTCTAAATTGCCAAGCATTAGTCTTCATATTCATTGCAACTTATTTTATTTCCATTTGGCTATTCTCTCTATATAAGATATGTCAACAGTGCTGCTATCAGAATCCAAGATACTAACTTGTAACTCATTTTGCAAGCTAGTGTTAAGAAATTAACATAAAAATCTAATTCAGCAAAGATAGCAGTTTAGGATTAGCTGGACTCTGGCAGCCTTCTGAC